AGTCAGCTTCACTGTGATTGGCAGGGAGGACATTAATGTGTTATTCATTGGTTGTGAACCATTCCCATCTACCTGAGGGCCTGCCTGCGTGACCACTCATGCAGCAACTCTCACACAGGAAACACATTTTCCAATCCCTGCTTTGTAAAGTCATTTTAACGCTGTTTCCAAAATATCACTGGCTTGTGGCTGCACTGCAAGCATCTCCGGTTTATGAAGAACCAAAAGGAGGTAGAGGAGATGTCCGGAGTCACTGTGACTAACTTTTCGGAAGGTAAGCGTCATGAATTTAGATCATATTCAGGCACGAGAAAAACAATGTGAATAATCATTAGTGCATGTTCGTGGCTTTGTGCGCTGAGTAACAGACAGGACTTAACCTTTCCAGGAAAAGTTTGGCTTGTTTTCACACATACAATTCTAATCAATTATTGTGCACTGGTCTGTGATCTTTTACTCAGAATGAACTATGCCACTTCTTATCATTGTATTTTCACAATAGAATTGGATTCAGATATTATTTCTGGTAAATAAAAAGTGATATATGTTTGATGAAAGTATGCCCCTCTTATCTAGAATGTGCATTCATTTGCATGCATTTTCCATTGTGCTCGTTCAGGATGATATGCAGTAAACACGGTTGGTTGTTAAGCGATGACCTTTATGGACAAAGGTCACAGTGTGAATATAATGAGCAGCAAATCAATTTGAATATGATTTATTCATTGAGAGATGAACACAATCGACACAAACAAGTGTTTATGTTGGACTTCAGGTCCCACTGCTTCATATCTGCTTTGTTGTGTATACGGAGTGACTCATGTCGAATTGATCAATCTCATTGATTTAGAATAAACACGGAAAAACATTTGGAGACAGTCTCTTAAGTTTTATAACAGTTTATGTTTATATTGGAGGCAGTTTGTGGTAATGTTTGACCACACAAATGAGCGTTGTAAGCTGCTGTGCACTCTGTTAGACATTTAAAGCTCTAAGTCAGTAACATATTGTCAACAGATTCATCCAGTAGCTCTTATATGTCATCCATTACTGAATCATGAAACTTTGATCATGCACATTTGATTGAATAGACATCCAGGGAATATGCTTTGTTGCTTCTATAGACAACAATGTTAATATCATGCCTGTGTGTGATGTGTTGAGCTCCTGATGCGCCTGCAGCTTGATTAATGTTTCACACGTAGACTAAACCAAACTAACGGTGCACTTGCAATGAACCCATTGACCACACAACATTAGTTTAGTAATGCAGCATTTTCTTGCTTTCCTGGTCTGTTTGTTAGTGATGTTGAGTCCCCAGTGATAGCAGGAGACCATCCTCCTCTCTCCATTCCCCCACCGCAGGACCCACACTCAAGGCAGGAAAAACATAATCATGTCCCTTTCTCCACTGGTCAGCCAGATCTGCATCCAGAGCAAAAGTCCGGTGGGATGGCGACAGCGACTGCCACACCTCATCTACCAGGTTCTCCAGAACTCGGGTTGATCGAATGCCCGTCACCTCAGCCAGTTTTTCTGTGGAGATCCCTGTCAAATGGCCAAGTTTTACCACTCCCGCTTCAATGAACGCATTTTTTAGGGTGGCTGAAGAGAAAAGGGTTCCAGAAAGAAAACCAGTGTCAAACAGTGGCTCCTCAAACAGCCACATCCCAGGCCGGGGGTGGTCTCATTTCTCTAAATGCACATCGAGGACCGAGCATCGAGGAGGCTCTCTGGAGGAGCTATGATCGAGGATACACTGATGCATCCTCCACGGCTCCTCCGCGGATGCATTTCCGGGAACGGTGGAGGCGTGACGCACGGCCGGACTTATCTCAGCCAATGACAGCTCTGCATGCATCCCCTGGATATTATTTTAGTAACTGCTTTCATCGCGACGCGATGTTTACAGTGAGAACAGCTGTGAGGTCCGTGCAGAAAGCAGAGCAGTGTGTAAAATATATATCACTCAGTATAACTGGCCTACATTACTCTCTGTATTTGTATGCTGTAGTTTAGTAGATATCTACAAACAAAGAGTCGATATTTTTCGAAGACCATTTAGTGCTTCACATAATAAAATACACAACGGCTGTAGCCTGATTATGCTTTAAGAGCTGTGGTGTCGGTGTGTGTGGTAGGCCTACAGTGCCTTGTCATAATAATATACTAACATAAATAATTGGCTCTTGGTTTATTTGCCCTCTAATAACTGAATCAAATGTAAACATGAATGAATTGAATTCAAGGAACATCTTTCACACTCTTTTGTGATTGCTTTTTGATGCAATACCTTACCTTGTTCCCAGCTAAAAAGTAGGACCTCTGAATCAAGCAGTGATTCAATCACCTGCCCAATCTCCTGAGGCAGATCATAAAGTCTTCTGACTCACCATGCCACCTTGGTGCAAGTTCTGGTGAGTGGGTTCAGATTTAATGACACAGAGCTCAAATACTGCCAGTGGTTGTGATGTCTCCTGTAGGTTTTATAGCTTAGCCTGTAGACAAGAAAGCAGACAAATCAGTTTACACATTTAAACCAGACATGTAAGACAAACATGCTGATTAGATGCGTCACAAAAGAATTAAGCAGCCTCTGTCTGTGTGTTCCTGTTGTTAGAGCTTTGACACCAGCACGTGTATGATTTAATGCAGGCTTAAAGCACAGGCTGTGCTGAAAGGCCTGTTATTGGACACTCACCCCGGCTGGTTATGTTATGCTGCTACTGGCCGACTTCCAGCAGAGCACATCGAGATCATCTTGCTTCATTTAGTGGAGGCTCGGGACAGCTGAGAGGACAATATTAACAATATCATGGGTGAGTAAGATATACAGTATATCAGTCCAAATGTGTGTTCAAAGTAAAAAACTTAAATATATTCAAAAGAAACATGACCTTGGTGATCTTTTGCACACACACATACACACAAACGATACTGCACAGTCACAAGTGTGCAGGACTGAAGTTTGAGACTTTTAGTAGTTTAAATGATAACCAGTAGGTGGTAGTAGTTTCCTGTAAATAGAATAGTGGTTCCAAACCTCTTTCCCATTGAGTTAAATTATGACCCCTGATTGAGAGATACATTTTATGGATATTCCATATTACATTTAATGCGTAGCAGAAAAACAATTGATAAACTGTACAATTAACCAAATATATCTGCAGGAAGATTGTGTAAAACAAGGGATTTAGATACATTTGGAACAGAAAGAGCTGCGAGTTTTTTTTTTGTATGAACTCCTAAACTATACATTTGTCTGAATGATGTCTACTGTATAAATATATGTTTAACATTTTAACTGATAAGGCATGCCTAATATGGTTATTTTATGACACATTTCGTTGCTTTCCTCCCTAATGCTTGGCGATTTTTTATTCTAACCGCATACCTTTCTAAAGCAGGACAGGGTGTTTGGCAGAGAAGGAGGGTATTCAGTTCTTCACTCTGCCCTCAACCTGTTAGACTTACAAAGAAAGTGTATATAATAAATAATAATCCAAACTTAGAAACTAGAACAAAATAACCGACATTTGAATAAAAAGCTATTTTCTTTTTGGTAAATGGATGAACATTACTATTGTTATTAGAACAGCACATTCTCACATAAAAGTACAACAATATAACACTAGTCCAATCTAATTTATTTGCATTTTTGTATACTTACTGATATTTTGTTTAGCAATTTATTGTAATAGTAATTGAGATTGCAAAAGTAGGTTCTTGTTTAGCAAAAATTTACATTTATATCATTGAATGAATCTCAACATTGAAACACAACAACATCAACTACAAAATAAAAATAAATTGTTTTAATATTGCCATAAAGACTTACAACCATTCACATCTTTTGCATCACTCTGGACCAATGATATATTTTCAGATCTTCAAAAGTCTCTATTATTGCTTAAAGGGGACCTATCATGCAAAATGCACTTTTGTACGTCTTTTATACATGAATATGTGTCCCCGGTGTTCCAGGGAACTCACCATGTGTCAGAAAACACAACCCTCTCTATTTTCCTCCATACCCAAATCCCTAAAAAAGGGGCTGCAACGGATCTGATAAAAACTGATCCAGATTTGAACACTGTCCTGACGTCAGGACGGTGGCGCTACGGCTATTGGGCCAACTCCACCAATCAGGAGGAGACAGCCACGGCCATTGCCGTTCGAAAGCGCTGGAGACCTGTAGTACATATGCCAGGCCTGTAGGTGGTGCTGTTCTCACAGAATCAGCCCTTGCAAAAACAGGGGTAAAAAAGTCCAAATTGAGCGAAATGAGGCATGGCTAAAATGCATGATCTGTTTGGTATTTTGAAAAAAAAAAAGTATAAATATGCCTTATATAGGTATGGTCCTACACTATATTATTATAATATAGCATGATAGGTCCACTTTAACAAAGATGGATTCACACATTTAGAGTGATCCACATGCTCTTCTATGGTCAAATGCCATCAAATACCTTCACAACAAAACAAAAAGCAAAGTCACATAAATCAAGCTTTAACAATATCATACAAAACGTGTGGGGTGTGTTGTGGATATTTTAACCTCGTCAATACTGTAAAGATGTACAATGAGAGTAATCAATAATAAACTGGTGAAAGCAAACAGAGTTGTCTTAGTACTTTCTTTATGCAAGCTTGCAGGTACAGTCATGCAAAATACAAAAGTGGTTTGCAGGAGTGGACACAGAGGGAAATGTGTGTGTGTGATTTATAGAGGACCTGTTGCTGTGCAGACAAAGAAAGATAAAATGTTCTGCTGATTGTTATCTTACAATGCTCTCATAAGGAACAAGAGCCTCATTGTTCAAATACGACCTTGGCAGGAAGCTACCGTGGGATACAACAGGTTGAGCTGACCAAGCAATTTTCTCAGCATAATATCATAATTTGGTTTTACCATAACTAGTAGTATAAGAAATTGCCACTACAGGAGTTGCGTCAAGCGTTGTTTCAACTACAGTACTCAAGCACACAATTTAGATGGACTGTTCATTTAATTATCCTTTTACTTCTACTCAACTACATTTCAGAGGGAAATATTGTACTTATTAGTCCTATACAATTATTTGACACCTACTAGTTACTAGTTATTTTACAAATAAAGATGTTTGCATACAAAACATAATAAGATCTTATACAATATGACTAAATGATATCTAAAACAATTGACAACAGATTAATTGGAAACAACTTTGTTGGTTGTCTGTCATTTAACACACAAAAAAGCTTGTTTTGCTTTTCTATGCCTTTGTCCAATAGTTGTGAGGTTTGGACTTGTAAAACCAAACAATCAATCAATGAATATAGAAAATAATCATGAGCTTAACCCTTGTGTTGTGTTTGAAAGCTGTTACCGTTCATGGTGTTCGCGGGTCAATTTTGACCCATGATTTATCTCAGTCCAAAACACTCAAAAATAATGACTATCATTCAATATTGTTTTAACTACATCATAACTAACTTATAATGCATTCATAACTGTACAATCCTGTTGTTATTTTATTTTATGGCCCCAAAACACATTACACCACATATTGCACATGTGCATGTGTGTGTTCAGGTTCAAGTGTTAGTGTACATATTCTTTGTGAAAGGTTGAGTTCCCGTGGGGGGGAGGGATGGGCAACCAGGTGCATGTTGTGAAATAATTATTGTTACAGTGGATGAAGGGGGTGGGGGTGGGGTGTCTAAAGTCAAAGATGAATCTTGATTGGGCCAAATTTGCCCCCGAGTCACCCACAACAATTGAGCTGTGTCTTCCCAGACCCGAACACCAAATTATACACTTTTTTTTTTTAAGAGACCTTCAGACTTGGCTAAAATTGTCAACATCTGTTTTGTAGTGCTTATATAGCTGTTGTGGAGGATATCATCTGCAGGTCTCCCTTGAAAAAGAGATCGATGATCTCAATGTCATGAAGCCTCGTTCCAATAAAAAAAACTAGAGCGTAGTTCTTATATCATTTTAACTTGAAACGGGTCACGGGAGACCCGAACACAACATAAGGGTTCATCCAAAATGAAAATAATCAACAGTTGCAGCCTTAAATAAAATAGCTCAAAATAAAAAAATTACAAAGGTGATGGTTACACATTAATGAATGAGATGATAACAATACAATGATATCAAATTGTAATACTGGAAGTACATTTTAGTTACTATACCTACGCATGCTCAATGCAGGACTGAGTATTTGTACAGTATGCATTAGTTATTTTACTTTAGTAAAATATATGGGTATTTTATCCATCACCTCCTTGGTTGATCTGATTTGGTTTTCTCTCCCAGAAGGTGACCAGAAAAGGAGGACATTTGAGAACAACAACCGGGGAAACAACCTGTACGCAGAAAGAGTTCCCTGTGTTCTCGGTACTGAATTGTGGCGTCACGTCGTATTGGAGGCCACAGTCGTCTGCGATTGTGGTGGGGCTGTTGTGTCTGAGCAGTGTGGTGGCAGAGGGGACAGTGGCTTTCACTTCCAGCATCTCATGTCCAGCTACAGATACATCCACAGGCAACACCACGTAGGCCTGCACAAAGCTTTCTCCAATGTTGCACTTGAGCTCCGTAGACCAACAGTATTCCCCGGGGTCTCCTAGGAAGAGAGACTCATTTATGACATCGGATGTGCCACATAAAACAGTCAGACACAGTGGCGGAGCCAGGACATTTTCAGTGGGGTGGCCAGGATGGAACCAGTGATCATTTTGGGGTGGCATTGAAATCACTATTATATGAACATAAAAATACATCTCACTATAAAATAAGGGGTTATTTAAGGCACCTACAACACACCTCTACATTATTTGGGATTAAGCTAGTGGTGGAATAGATCAAATAATATTCAGTATATCTAACTATTTTTTTCTTATTCCCGCAGGCAAAGTAACAACGAAGCTTACATTATACAAATGTAGTGCAATATACAGACTGTTTAGCTTATGGTGATCAGCAGCCCTATGAGCTCATTCTCTCAGTGTATCATCAGGAATACAGAGACACACACACATAATTAAATAAGAGTTTTACAATTCAATTATTGGTTAAGAATAAACATCTTAAAGTAAATAACAATAAACAATAGCCCTTAACCCTGTAAGGCCCCCGGTTGTAATTTTACAACATTACTTTAAGCTATCCAAAAAAGTCAGTAAATGTTTTTGTTTTTTAAAAGACTACATTTACATAGTCAAAAGAAAAGGTCCTCCTTGTTCAGCCTCACAATGCTATTGGGTAGTAAATGTGTTTATAGGTCCTGCCCTCTGGCCATACATATAAGACTAACATTCCTGACAATAGATCTCAATAGTCATCTTTTATGGTGTAAACGCCTTTTTAATAATAACATTTTTGAATGGAACATTCTCAACATGAATGCATAAATCCAAATAAATATAACTTAAATATGTGGAAAAATACTGTGTTTGAAATGTATAATTGAAATGAGATGTTAGCTTTTTGTTTTGATATATATATATTGTATTCCAGTCTCCCTTCAGATATGTTAAGTGGCATGTAATTCAACACAATGCTGCTCACCTCCTTCAGTTGGGAGACAAGCTGGTTCAGGTTCAGCCTTATGGGGGGACAGGGCTGCTGAGCCTGAAGATGGATCTGTTGGTCCTGGCACCAGGGGGAGGGACAACTGATTTGGTATGAATAGCTGCTAAAAATCTACCTGCATTTATTAAATGTCAGCTAAAAGAGCAGTGAAATTAAAAACCTCTGCATTTTCTTTATAGATATTAACAGTACTTAATGTCAGCTTAGTAAAAAAAACAACATAACAATTATTATTTACAATGGACTACGCTTAGCTAACAGACTAATTTCCACCACTCATGGACCACACCCACCTTTTCTTTGAAAAACTGGGTGACATACTGTCACCCTTTAGTCCCTCTCTCTTGTCTTTCTCTCCTTTCTTTTCTTTTTGAAAGCCTGACTTTGTGAGTCGTTGAGACATGGCACACACGTAAGTACTAGCATCCCTGCTCCTGACATGCTCTCACTCTCTGCTAGAAAGTGCCGTTTGGAGGCGGAGACGGGACCAAACCATTACATGTAAATAGAAGGGGGTGTACAGAGGCTTTGGATAATTAACTTTTGGAAGAAAATAAGTTAAATGAATTGTAAGTTTAGTGAGTACATTATCAATATAATGTTATATTAATGTTAATTATTGATGAATGATGAAAGGTTACTTAAACATTTTTTTCTTAATGTTCTAAAATAGTTTGGGCCCCCGTGGTGAGGGTGCTTGGGGTGGCCAATAGGGTGGCCAGGATTCAGCTGGGGGTGGCCACGGCCACCCCCAGCCACCCCCCAGCTCCGCCACTGGTCAGACAGCGATGGCCTGACATAAGAAGACCACCTGCACTACTGATATCTGTCTGCACATTTAGTCAAGGACAGTTGAATTTGTATCTGAGAGATGCCTTACCTTCTGTGCAATATGAGAGCCGTATGTTATGGTTGTCCCGAAGTTGAATTTTCTTATGGTAGGTCATCTCAGTGCACTCGATCAAACAGTTTGTTAAGGGTCTCCTGGGCAGCAGTTTCACCAACCCTTCCCTCTCTGAACAATTAGCTGCCCCTGCAGCCAGCAGAAGGGGGGACAGTATGCCAAAAAACACCCACAAAGTGAAATATGTTGACATTCTGTCCAGTATCAATAAAACATCCAATTGCTGGCAATGTTGAGCTATTGGTCCAGATCTTCTTGTCCTATTGTGGAATAGTTGTTGTCCTGGATTAATATATTGCTTGCACAACCTGACAACCATAGGATAAGATTCAACTTCAGCCAGGAAAAAACTTATAAAAATGTTGAGTACAATTGCATGCACAGCAGCTATAAACGTTCAAGACTTTCAGAAGTGCGCAACATGCTGCTCTTACGCTGAAATGAGGAGGGTTTCCTGGAGCGCAGTGCCTAGCCTCCAGGTTATTTTCCTCCCTCTAGACTAGAAATGTGAAACACCTAAAGGCTGGACTAAGGAACTGCTTTACCAAAATAATAATCAAGAGTTATAGTCCATAATAAATGTTTGCAGGAAAAACAACTGAGAGCAAACAAATGTTGATTTGAATCATCTTTATTCAAAAGTTTGTAAGCAAAAAATCAGGAAATTGGTACAAATGATTAGCATGCTATAGCAGTTTCATTAGCAAAATACAATATGTTGTACGAGATCTAAATACATAGATTAAGTTATGGTGCTATGTCAATATAATAAGTAATAGTTGAAAAATAAAATAAAATACATGGTGAGGTAATTTTGTAAAGTCAGCAGCTTAACAAAATGATAAACTGAGAACTATAGCAAGTTACAGGCATATGGGGGAAAACAAGAACTCTGCTGTAAAAAATGTATATAAATGGACATTTATTTAAATCAAACAACATTCTTTGGGTTCATTTATGAAAAAAAAAAAAAAAAGGGAAAAACTGCTTTGGGTCAAAACTATGATCTAATGGCATATCTCAAAGAAGGTTATGTCAAGAAAAAATGGTTTGATTATTTTTTGTAATGTCATTTTAATACCTAATTATGATTCATTCCAAAAGTGAATGTTTTTTGGTGGTTGCAATGCGGCATTGTTGCTTTCTGCAAGTTGAAAGGGCTAAAAGAAAGCACCATACAGAAGATGTCCCTACTCAGGAAAAATTGATATGAAATGTGATTGTGAATTGTTGTCATATATATGTATATTATTATTATTTTTATATGCCTTTTGAATTAAATTGCCCAAGAAAGGAGTTGTTCACAGATGGGGGGGAAACAACTGGTATGAGTAAGGATTTGGCTCTGTACAGTCTCACATTTTTGATAGGAACACTCTGTAATAGTTAGCAGCTTTAAATAGCGCTCTTCACCCATGAGATTTATTTAAAGATTAGCTGGCAGTGTTTCGCCTCCAGCTCTCTGCAGCTCTTGGCGCAAGATAAATAGTTGGGCTTATCTACAGAAATGCATTTTTTACGGGCCTGCAGTATCATTATCATCATCATAATAATAATTGGCAGTTAACCTCTAAAATAAAAATTGATCAGATTTGTGCTGGCACATTCTTGTTTGAAAGGAGAAACAGGAATGCAAAACTGAGAGTGCTGAATACACACTGAAAGGATCTAAGATAAGTCTATTGAGAGAAGATAGGCCTGCATATAATGTATCACTAACTTTTCTGTATTTTGTGTGAGTGTGTGCACCAGGTGGTTCACATACACAGAACTATAAAACAAACTTTACTTTGTGCCTGGCTGCTGGAGGTTACTAGGCCCACACCCGCAGCTGCTGGCCAGCTGCACGGAGGAGATGACGAGGGTGCTGAAATCATCCACATAGAGAACAGGCACCATTTGGAGGGAGGTGGGCTGACAACATGGCACCTGGAGAGAGAAAGAGAGGAGGAGTTAAAGAGGTTATGTTGGATAACACAGTTTGAACAAAAAAGGACGTTAAGAACGTGTGAATATTTATATTCTTGATAGAAATGCAAAAAAGTGTTGCATGCTATGGTGGATGTGTTACACATAAAGTACAGAAATAAAAAAGAGTAGAAAAATTAAATATAAAATAACAAATTACAAATTAGTTTCCAAACAGTTTCATTTAAAAGATGCAGTCTTGTATTTTCTTTTGCAAATATATTTTCTTTATTTATAAGATCGCATAAAGATGGTACAAAACGTTCAGTTTCCTTAGCACGTACACTGCATTCATTTCTGATTGACCAACGTTTTGGGAGTGTCTCAGCTTGAATTTGGTTAATTTGTATATTTGTGTTGGCAGAGTGAGAAAACAGGTTTATCTATTGGCAGCTGTTTTCCCTCCTGAGCACACACAGGCAAACTATTTGGTGTTTGTAGCTCCAATGCAACTGAGGCAAAGAGGTGAAAAAAGACGTGTAGGACTGTAGAAGAGGAAGCAAGTACAATAAACAAAGCTATACATTTAACAGTAAAATATAAGGTAATTGGGGTTGGAGGACATTTTTTTCACTGTTACCTGAGTACTGGCATTAGGGATGGTTAGGGATGGTGGACATTGCACAGGGTGCCCTGCGGGGTTGCAGAGTGCACACTGGACGATGGTCAGGCTGGCAGGATGGATCATCCAGTTATCCCAGCCCAGATCTGAAACACATAATAATGGACATTTTAGTACATGCATTTATATATTTTTGCATGTTAATTTGCATGCATACATGAACACATGCACACATTGGTGCATACCTTTCATGAAGATCTCAGAGGCCATGGAACAGCACTTCAGGTCTGTACTGTTTCCACCATCAGGGGACACAGAGTTGCCAGAGGCCACTGGAACTGTAAGGACGAAAAAACGTTCAATTCAGTTTGAATGTGAAAACCTCTTAAGATAAAATTAAAGCTGTACAAAATGTGGGCTCTACAAAGGTTTCTTCAAAGTGTTAGGGTGTTACATACCACCATTGTCCTTCACTCTGTGAGCAATGGAGCCGAAGGTGGTCCTCCATTGCTCTCCGATACCGTCCAGCCCACCAGCAGGCAGCTGTGGCTCAGCCTGCAAGTTGAGGCCCTCGAGGAGACTCTGTCTGATGGACTGCAATGACCCCCCCGAGCACCTAAACATCATATAAAAGGTTACATTTACATTTGCATTAAAAAGGATTACACAGACAAATTGAAGAAATACTCTACATGACAAAAAAATAAGTATTGTGTTAACAATCCAATCAAGACTAAACAAGCGTAGTTGTGAGCAGCTGCACATGCCAGACATGTACTCTCTCAATAACCTCAATAGCTCTGGGACTATTTTCTTAGGCATACACAAATTCCTCTGTGGAAGAGATGACACTTCTGAAGCTTAATTGAAACAGCATGTTACAGCTCTGCAAATTCCTAGAAATAGATCAAAATGATGCTAAATCCTACCAGGAATGTATTTTTTCCCTGAGAACTACTCAGCACCCACACATCATGGATATGTGATCTGTTAAGCAAGTTTGCAGCACTGAGGTTATTCAAAATATGTATTAACTTCTACGACCTGACAAGATAAGGGGAGAGATAGCAGGTCCACGTCACAAGGAATTTGATACACAGATTTGATGCAAAATTAAACACATTCTAAAATTTGAGACTGAAAAAATGACTTCAAAATAACACTTTAACACCCCAAGACCTTTTGGAACACTAGTAAGAGGACAACTGTGACTTGGTATCAAAAACCTTCTGCATGAAATCTGATTAGCGATTGGATGGGGAGCACTTTTTTTTAAAGAGAAATGCTCAGAAGCCTACTTAATGTCTACATATCAATGAAAGCCATATATTCTATGAATGCCCAAGTGTTGTAGTTTGTAGTTGTAATGTTTCAAGAGGCTGTAGTTTCATAAAAAGCAGATTTTATAAAGCAAGGTCAGGAATAGAGGCCTGCAATCTATAATAAAATGGGTACACTACACAGCAAACAAAAGCGTAATGTTATTTAGGTACCAAAGCACTGTAAAAATGTGCTCCTGAAATAAAACATTTACCAATAGCGCTCTTAGAAATCAAACATATTGCACTTTAGAGACAGGGAACAGATAGGTTGGTACTGACCTGTGCTGCGACACAGGAGAGTTCGCAGGGGCAGCAGAAACTTCCTCGGATGGCAGCAAGACAAATGCAAACACCATCGAAGAGCCCAGGAGCATCGTCATGACAATAAACGTAAAGGACATGGTGTATGGGCCGGATGGTCAATCTTTCGATCAACTGCTCTCAAATTCGGACTTGCGGCCGACTACGGTTGACTCTGGTTGGAAGAGAAGATAGGAGTGACCAGACAGTGATGCTGCACGAGGTATTGTTTGTCAGGGCCTGGGAACATGGGTTTTTATCTTCCTGTACCAAAGCTTGGCCTTGAGATATTTCACATTGTTGCCTTGTCCCTGTGTGAAAGAGATCAGTTCAGTTATTTCTCCCGGACGTGCAATACTGGATGTGATTTCTTAGGGAGGATTTGAAATCAAGAATATGGTTTTGCTACACAAAGTAAAAGATGCAAAAACATCTTCAAATAATCAGTGAATAAACTTTCACATATTCCCCAGTGAACATATTCTTTTTTAAACTTCTTTTCAACAAAAAAAGGTTCATTGGGCCTTCTGATGCCACTCATAATGTACTTGTACTTGTTTAAACCATATTATTCCACACTACCAGTATCATACATGCTCAACTATCCATCTCTATGAGAGTAAAGAGCAAAACACGAGGCTGAGTTGAGAGGCAAGCAAGGAACGGTAGTTTCAAGTCGTTAAGGCCCCTTTAATCAGAGACTACTAACTCACTGTGGACTAAACTGGGTCACAGCAATATTTGCATGGTGCACCAAAGAACACAGTTTTACTGCTGGAGGGTACGACAAATCATAATAGGCAGTGCTACTTTGGTACAGGCTGATACAAGACATGGCAATACTCTTTCAGTTAATGTAAAATAACAGTTCTGAAGTGCAGGTTAAGTTCATTACTGCTGGTTGGCAGTAGATGCACCACTGCAAAAACATGGCTTTCTTATTTCATGCATTTGTCAGCATAGTAGTGTATACCTCTCAAAAAACACTAACTTTGCAGAAGGCACTGAAATAAGGAAAGCAGGAAAATTCTTTATATTTCAATTTCAGATCACAGTCGAGGATTGAAGCAATGTTATTAAAGTACAATTTAAAAAATTAGTTCTCTTTAACTCGTAATCGTTTCCTTCGCTGTTGAACCATTTGTAACCCCAAAGCACTTTGTTTCTTTGGTTATGTTTATCTTGGCATAATAACACAAGTATGCCATGTGTTCTTGCACAAGACCTCCTATAGGTCTAAACAACACTGAGAAGATTTGAGTTCTGAAATTATCATCAGGTCTCAACAATGGTGATAAATTGACACTATTCAAAAATAAAGTCTTAGAGGATAACTCCGGGGATATTTCATATATTTCTATATCTATATCAGCTGTTTATTAAATGATATCTGATGGCCCATAAGGCAGCCATCTTTGTGTCTTGTATCAGAGAGTTTTTATAGGTTTTTAGGGTGACTGTTTTACACAAAATAATTTTTCTTTTTACGTCAATTTAAATAATAAATAATTTGATCCATCTATCTTTCTAACTAGCTATAGATTGTATAGAATATATATATATATATTTTATACAGATAAATATATATTTATCTCAAATCTTCAATTTGTTTATGTTTTGTTGTGTATATAGCTGTTAAGCCTGGTAATATGTGTTTTATCAGGAGGCAGCAGTTTGATCTTTCTCTTGGTTTATTTTTCACTGTGAAGTTTTTTTTTTAATGGATTTATGTCATGTTTCTGTTAATACAAACCAAAAACAAATGTATAGTTTTTCTTTTCATGGGATTTGTTTACACTAACATAAATGTGTAAAATTGTCAGCTGTATTCTTATAATAACGCATTGATGCACACCTTAGGTCACTGTGGAATATTGCAGTTTTCGACCACCTTCGACGTATACATGAGCGGAGTCCTTGAGTATCAGACGTCTCCCACCATTTCCTTGTTCTACTACAGCAGGGAGTCACACCACCGCAGCTGCTGCTGGCTGTGATCACAAGCACACAACACAGAGGACATTCTTGGGATGAATCTCAACAAGATTATTAAAAATGTGGCAGGATTTGGTGTAGCGAGATAGAAAGCTACATTACAGGAGATTCATTCTGTGGGAAATATTGCTATTAAGATTTAATTTGTGCCCGACAAGACTTGAACATAATGACTGTGGATAGACAGAACACCTGCTGCAACAATTCAATTCAATAGCCTCATTGTACAGCACCCACATTATTAGTTTATGGAATCTCATAATTGGAAGCAGTATTGTTTAATGTCTTGTCCAATAATGTTACATTTACAATCCTTCAACCTTGATTGGTGTGTTCTACTTGTTGCATGATTGCTTCACGTACATGCATGGTGAGGAAAGTAAAAGAAGGACTGTTTCTGTTTGCCACCTTGTTATTTGATTTGATAATGTTGTGTCTATATTTGTATGAGTTGTATTGAATATAAAGGGTGCTTTCTATGACTAGTACTATGATATATTTAATGTTAAAGTCTATCTATCCAGGCTAGCCATGGCCAATTAACCACTAATGGAGATACATTGACGTTATTATTCATTAGTCACAGGGAGGACACAGGTCTTGCATCGAGGCCAAGATTTAAAAACAGATACTGCCCTTTATCAGAGCCATCATCCGTTTACTCAGCGTACATGACAGCCGAAGTCATGTTTAATCCTAATCCACTTGCATCTTGTTTTGTTAAAGTGATCACAGGGCTTGTGCAGGACACTTGGCTTTGATATTTACAAGACTTGAGCCAATGTGTGTGTTGGTGGACGAGAGTGTGTAGCTTCAAGAGGGGAAATCTAACTACAACATTACAGACAGTGGGACCTGTGCTGCTGGGCCTTGGAAATGAATGGAGTGATAACACATGCTACATATCTGCCTTTTCTCTTCTTTAAACAAATATAATTTGGCTGGCTGGTTTGGGGCATACGGTCCAGAAGAAGTGAGGGGGATATTGAAAGAAAGGTAACGTGAACAGGTAAGGGTTTTTCGGCCAGTCTGGTGCTTTGTCTTTTATTTCTACTGTTGATTGCTCTATTTAAAAAAGTTTGGGAAACATTACTTAAACTTGAAATGCTGAAGTGTGTAGTCCATGCATACATTTGCCATTATGTTTTAAAACATCAAGTATTTGTGTCTTTTTCCATTTGTTATACCCCTAACTGTTAAACTTGATTGTCCAATTGATTTATTACAAAAAGTCAAAGAGTTATGACAAAAATCTGTAGTGAAACAGATGAAACAGGGAAATGTGTTTGGTTGTTTATAAAAATCTATTATTTCATTATTTCGCAGCTTGCAAAACACAAGGTCAGACATTTCACACTCACACATGAAAGTATATTTTTCTTTGACAGTGAAAACAGCACAGGATCATGGGATGTGGTATGGGAAAGTCTGAACCACTGCTGAAAAAATGTCACACAGGTGCTGCCTTTATTATTCCAGTGAAATTCCAGAGTCAAATGTACCTTTTTTACGCAATAATTTAATGTCAGTGTCATTGCTATTTTTCATTTTTAGAGTCCATCTCAGTTCCACAAAAGTCTAAATAAGCAATTTTAACTCACTTTTCTACTCAATTTGTATGCACTCTGTGAAGCTGCCACTGGTAAGTCTTGCAGAATGGATCAAACTTAGTATATGAATGTGTTTATAGTGGAAGAGGAAGGTTACCTCAGCATGGTTATGTCCGAGTGCTTCCGTCTTGTCTCCTAATCTGCAGCGATCAGTGCAGTGTTGATCCAGCGCTGGTACCGTCAGCATGTTGCACGGCTGAGGATGAGACGCAGGTGCACGTGGAACATCTTCCAGTCTATCGAATATGCAGGAGAGCAAGACCAGATCAAGGTGAGCACTGACAGAACTCGTCTTACCCACCAACATTTAGAAGCCTTGTGGATGGCAACATCAAGCTGTCTGTAAGAAATATACATTTTAAATATTGGATGTACTGCCATTACATTTTAAAACAGACATTCATGGACCCAAGAGGATACATCTTACCAACTTTGTGATCTCCAGACCTTCCAGCACCACCATGAGGCTGACATTTGTGGTTCAGAGTGAAAAATATATCAATTTGATTGAAAAATAATAATCCTTACAAGATGGATGGCTGAGATATTTTGCATCCATGGTCCATCTGGGATTTATTACAATAACCTTAGTGGCCCCTACATTTTTATCTAAAATGTCATTTTTTCCAGTACTTTGATTTGACAATTTCGAAATAAGACATTTAACAACATGTATTTTTTCTTCCTGCAGCTCTACAATTTCTTTGGCTTCTTGATGGACCACTTCACCCCAGCCAGCAGTGAAAGTAAAACAGACCTCAACTCTTGACAGTCAGATAATCTGAGTTTAACCAGTCTACTATCTGCTGAGAAACAGAATGTGGGTTTGCCCTTACTTTTTCACTTCCTCTCTTCACCTTTACCATAGGAAACCTTATATCCCACATATTTCGTAAGAATGAAATCTGTCTTGACACAGAGTGGGAGAGATATTTTTGCTACAAGAGCATTGAGGTGACAAAAAGCTACACAGGCCCCCATCTGACGTTCCCCATGACGTTCTGTGGGGTGTCGAAGCTGGTGGAGGCCTTCAAGCACAAAGAAGTAAGTACATGAGTATATCCCCAAAGGTGTTCAATCTAAGGTTTGCTTTTTCTCCTCTGTGCTCGGTTTATACACACTTTCTTTTTTTTATAGTAGCAGCTTCATGCTCGATATGTTCTGCAGCTTCTTGGAGAGACTTGGAGACTTCTGACAACTTTTCCCAACATCAGTCACGTCATCGCCTGCCATACAAAGCCGATTACCATATGCGGTACTCAACAGCAGGCCTTTCCTGTACATATTGTTCTCAGATCTTTTCTCCCACATTATTTACTTAACGCCCTTGAGCATGCAGTTACACTGTAACAAATATGAATTAATTATTTATTTCAACACCTTACTCTCTCTAATCATACTAATCCAAAGTGCCTTTAATTGCTCTTGTATAGACCATTCTCGTATAGTATAGTTTCTAGTCTTGTACTAGTATTAACCTCCTATTTTGATTATTCTTGTTCATATTTTGGTTCTGTATTTATCTGTACTTACCAAACAGATCATGCATTTTAGCAATGCCTCATTTTGCTCAATTTGCACTTTTTTAGCCCTGTTTTTGCAAGGGCTGATTCAGTGAGAACAGCACCACCTACAGGCCTGGCATATGTACTACAGCGTCTCCAGCGTTTTCGAACGGCAATGGCCGTGGCTGTCTCCTCCTGATTGGTGGAGTTGGCCGAATAGCCGTAGCGCCACCGTCCTGACGTCAGGACAGTGTTCAAATCTGGATCAGTTTTTATCAGATCTGTTGCAGCTAGGGTGACCAGGTCCCAACAAACCAAATGTGGGACAAGGAGTATGTTTGTGTGGGACAATGTTGGACACCCTCTCAACACACACACCCCCCCCCCCCCCCCGTTGAAAATGTACTAGCGGTGATTATTTGCGGTACCGAGGTGGGCCGGTCGAGAGTCCCGGGCTGATTTGTAGTCCCAGTCCGCCGCTGCCCACGGGTAAATGTCTTCCCAGTCTTTGTTGTATGTGAATCTTCTTCTTTTCTTAGCTGTAGTTTCAGTTTCCTCCATTTTCCATAACCTGCTGCGTCGCCTGCGTTATTGACTTTCATTGTTGTTGTTTGGCAGGGCCGCGGCGGTGTGTGTGTGAGTGAGTTATTCTCATTGGTTAACACTTGACCAGCACCCGCCGTGTCTTACAGTTTGATTGACAGCAAACACAGCTCCGTGATGATAGCCTTCCCTGCTTTCTCAACAGCCATTGGATAAATCTGATTTTAGAAAAGCGTTTTAGCCAATCAAAATGAAATATGCGGGACATCGTCTCAATTTGCGGGACGCACCAAAAGTCGTGAAAATGCTGTGCAGTCCCGCGCAAAGCGGGACATCTGGTCACCCTAGTTGCAGCCCCTTTTTTAGAGATTTGGGTATGGAGGAAAATAGAGAGGGTTGTGTTTTCTGACACTTGGTGAGTTCCCTGGAACACCGGGGACACATATTCATGTATAAAAGACGTACCAAAACGTCCCCTTTAAATTATTGCCTATAAAAACAACATTAAACATTAAATAATCAGTTGCATTCATTTCTTATGGCTCTATCTGCAGCTTTTCCAGAGTCATTTCTTATGATTACATTTTTCCACAGGCCAACAACAGCTTCAAAAAAACATTTCCCTCAAAGAAAAAAACAAACATGCCCTGTTGTCGCAAGAAAAAAAGTGCAGAAGGAAACAACCATTAAACTCAGTTTGCTGCACTGTGATGCTAGTTCAAGCCAGATACTTGGCATCTCATCTTGGGTGCTAGTTCATCAATGATTGGGGTCAGACTCTGAGCTGAGGAAATCCTCAGGATTGAGTGAAGGTGTGCGTGCAATATACCGGCGGGCCAGATCTAATAGTAATTTAAAAATTATCCTGCGGGCCGAAATTAAATCCACCAAGGGCCTGATTTGGCCCCCGGGCCTTGAGCTTGACATATGTGATCTATGGCAACGATTACAATCTATTAGCAGTAGTGTGTGGTTGCCTTTTAGCTGGTTAGCTTCTTCGTAGTAGCTGTTACTTACAAATCAACCCTTATTTATCTGCCATTTCTGTCGCTTTTAGTTTCCAACGCTGTACACAGTTACTGTATATATTGCAAGTTATTACAAACACGAAAAAAGTACCTGTTGGCTAACTGTAGCTAACCCCAAGTGCTAGCTTAGCTAATACTAAACCAAAAGCATTTTCCGAATGTTTACTAGCGATATTGAATACTATCTTGATGGCAGATAGTTGGAACACAGATACAGGAGAAGCTGTGTAGGTCCCGGGATGCTGTTAAAACCTTGAAAATAAGGTGAGTAGCTCATTGTATCTTTCAAAGAAGTGGTGATAAACTCGTCCCGACGGGGAATCGAACCCGGCTCTCCAGTTTGACAGGCGGCAAAAGCCCTTTCATCAGTTTCCGTAGTGTAGTGGTTATCACATTCGCCTAACAGCGATTGGTAAGCCGTGTATACCCATAGAAGATTTTCTATTGGCCAGAAGCCTTTTCAAAAGAACGACGGTTCGAATCCCACCTGACCCTAACAAAATCCCCACATTCAGTTTCAAAATGTTGCTCATTATACACAAACACTCCATTTATCTTTTCAAACGTTTAAAGTTAGAAACTGATATTTGGAGTTAGAAATGAATTATTCTTTCCTTGCTGCTTCTTATAGTTGTTTTAACCTTAATATATAGCAATCATAACAATAATAACACAAATAATGATATCTTAATATTAGTAATAATAATGTTTTATATAATATTTTTGTATTTTTACTTATAATTAATATTTTTTAAATATGTTGATTGTACAGATGTTTACATTGAGCATATGAGTGTGCTTCATTCTTCTTTCTATCACTATTACTTCCTCTATCAAGTAAAGACAGCCACAGTGATGCATTCAAGATCATTTATTCAAAAACAGCTGAAACATCAAATATAGGAAATAATACAAATAGAACTACAAATATATAAAAAACACTGAAAACACAATACAGAGAGAACAATCAGATCCTGAAAAAAGGATTGAACTATATTATATTCTTTGTATTTTTGGACTATGTGATAGGTTGTATTGCACCTTAATATTTATTATAATATTATAATTTAGCAGAAGATGGTGTATTGTTTTGTTATAGATGTATTTGATCTCACCACCATCCATTATCTGAAATGTTTTTCACCTCATGTTCTTGTATGGTTTCTATTCTGCATTCTTTTCTCATTTTAGTGATTTATACCCTCTTACTTGGTATTTGTTTTTTTATTTATTCTAGTGCAATAATTATATTTATTCTAGTATAGTATATAATATTCTAGTGCAGGCCCCAGCACCGACAAGATTGGAGTGGAGGACCTATAGAAATCCCTGAAATGATTATTATTCTTTATTATGAATAGAGTTTTTTGAGGGCATTAACCAAAACTGTTTTGTTATCGGCAGGATTGTCAGGACTGGTGAAAAGGCTGATAGTTTAGGGGTCTCGCTTTTGTTGCAGGCAAAACGTCTTAGTTTGTATGTTAAGTTAGTATGCAACTTAGTAGACCCAGGAAGTGGCGCGTGCCTGAATAGAATAGGGAGGGATGAAACCCTCTTTAATGGTCACACATGCAGAGCACACAGCACACACAGTGAAATTTGGCCTCTGCTTTTAACCCATCCTAGTACAAGGAGTCTAGTACTAGGAGTATGTACTACTAGTACTGTGTGTATGTGAGGGTAGGTTAGGTAGGTTAGGGCTTCCTTTTGTCTGCAATCCATCTGTCCCTTTCAGCATCATAGAAGTCAGACTGCTGGAACTCCGGCCACGTCATCTCCTGCTCCATGCCCTGTGCATTATATAAGGAGAAGACTCTGGAGGGGCAGTAGATATACTTCCCTGGGCAAGTCAGAGCTGTAAGACACAGCAAAACACCACAGTTAGCAGTTACATCAGATAAAATTGAATAAAGCTCTATATAAATGACTGCTATAATACAGTGTCACAGATATCCATACCTTCATCGAGGACAGTGTCTCCCTGCGCTTCCACAGGGGCCATATTATGTGGTGATGAATCTGGGATGATGAGATACAAACAGGCAAGTGATGTATACACATTATACATCGAAATTAAGAAGCAGCATTTAAGAAGTTGTGAAAAACGAAAACAGAGACGATGATATCATTACTTAACTTTACCTAAAACGTGAGCACTATACTGTATGACACCGGGACAATGTGATTTGTCAGAATGAAATTGAAGTTTTTGTGAGATACACTGGTAGTATAAGAAGAACACATACTTTGTCTCAACACATTTGGCGCCTGCTCTTCAATCCCGAGCTTTGGGGCAATGGCGAGCAGCTGAGGAGGGACCGGCAGCGGTGCCTTCACTGTGGCTGAAGGATGAAAGGCGAAAACAAACATGAGGGTATATATACATAATATGTATGAAAAAGATTCAAGATGGATCCAAGTGAGGAGTATAAAAACCCAATAACCTTTCAGAGGAGCAGGTCCATCGGGTCTGGACACAGTGGCAGTGGCAGTTGGATAAGTCCTGTGGGCTGTAGAAACAATCCTGTGTCATGTTCCTCAAGTGTTAAGTTGTTTCAAGCTTCACAATCTGTCTTTACCTGTTGTCTCTTTAACAGAATGAAAATACCCCGTTGTATTAACTTGTGAATCCCAATTATTTGAAATAGAAAAACATAATGTCTATATGTGTTTGGAAACAGGTAAAGCAGAGAAACAGCATACATATATAGCAAGCACATCTTCCATTCAAAGGTGTGGCATGATATCTTAGAGGGTAAGAAGCTAGGTTTCCTAAGCCAATATTTAAAATGCCAAATCCTTGCATGACAGTCTAAAAAAAGCATGCAAAAAAGGAAAAACACTTACCATCATTGCTGACATGTTAATTCCTTCAGTTAGTTGGAGAACAGAATAACACAAGCATCAGAACAGACCCGAACACGGCCAAGTTATCCCTCCACACTGCTGGAGAGAAACCTGTTGGTGTAGACACAGCCGGGGCTCTGGAGACTGCTGCTGGTGGCCCTATAAAGCACAGGTGATGGAGTACAGTTTCCCCTTATATTTTCCAAACTGTAGCACGTACTCCCCCATCACCTCGAGTCGGTCAGATACATCCCCTCCCCTCTGAAGGACCTCAGTGAGAGCATTTGTCCTCACATGCTCATGTTTCTGAGCAGCAGACTTGTCCTGAAGGGAAGGATTTTTTTGTATTCTCATACCCTCCTCTGAAGGGTCCTGTCTCAGGTGGCCAGATGGACCCTTCCTGAAAGACACTCTCATCTTTCCTGGGAAGAATATGGTTTTCTTCATTATCTCCTGCACACAGAAAAACACAATGCAAAGTATATATATTAAGAAGTGCAAAAATCATCATACTGTTATATTAGCAGAGTTATTCATTTCATTCATTCACGTTAACCAGGATTTGTATAGGTAACACATTTATATTACATGATCAGACAGGCAGACAAACAAACAAACAGAGGGGCAGGTGGACAGGCTAGGTAACAACTTCTCTATTACACGAACAGACAGACTGAAAAGCAGATGGGTAACATCGTTAGCCATAAAATAATAACAAAAGTACAATAGAAGATAGCAAAAAAAGAGTTTTAAGACTGAATACTGTAGTATTTACCCGATTAAAATGTACTGTAGTAAGTAGAACTGCAGCAATGAAAAGAGTCAAATAATGCAGTATTTTGGATCAGGATACACCTGTAAAACACATTTGACAGCTCTTTTGCCATGTGTAATGAGTAATAAATCAGCTGCTGTTAACGCTGACATTTACTGTAAATACATGACGTTAGTGTAACGTTAGCTAACAAAAGTTACAGTACCTTAGACACACAGAGTTAAAGACAAACAAACAAACAACTAACAACTATTGCAAAAACAGTGTAACAATATGATAAGAGTTAATTCAGTCATAGAAAAATAAGCCCCACTTACGTTTGATAAGTTTGACGTGATGTTAGAAGTCGAATTGTGTCGCTAATGTCGTCTCTATCTGTAAGATGCTGCTGCTGTTGCTCCGTCTCTCTCTGTCACTGGAAACGGGGTCTCCTTACTTCTACCAAAAGGGTGCAACAGCGCCCCCAATTTCTCGCTTGTGGCCAGAAATATATTGCAGTCACAGTGTAAGAACTACCATAGAGAATGAATGGTAAAGTTAAGAGAGTTAGACCGGGCGGAAACACATTATGACTTGTTTGCTTCCACATATATATAAAATAAATTAAATAGATAGTAAGGCGTCATTAATTGAAAAATGCCCAAATATTGAGAAATAATGTAATAATTGACAAGAATATAATTTGGTGTTCATGTCAATTATGAGACAGATCGCTATCTGTCCCTTGATTTTCTGTTTAACACAAATTACTGATGCGTCCTCGAACTCAGCATTAAAGGGGCGTCAACATGCACGTGAGTTGCTGTTGCTTTTTGGCGGCGTGTTGCTTATGAAGCACCTCGTGGGGAGTTTTGGTCAGAGACAGAGACACTTCATGACCGCATCACTTCTCCATCTTTCAAACCACCGCGTTGACCGGCTTGTGCTCCGGTCCTCGGTAGGTATGCTGCTGTCCGCATGTTGTGCTAAAACCTAGCCTTAGCTTTCCTTTGAGGGGGAGGCTAACATTAGCATTGTGCCGCCTCGTTTTCTCTATATAAACTAAGCACAAAAAGTAAGGAAATGTGTGTTTGTTAGATTATTTCTTTGTTGAAACAATACTTTTTGGCAATACATCTTATACCGTAGGAAAGCCTGTGTATATATATATATATATATATATATATATATATATATATATATATATATATATATATATATATATATATATATATATATCTATATATATATATATATATATATATATACCTTTTTAAATGGTGCCACATTTGTGAGGAACATACATTTGTGGGATCGGCCAAATCTTTTTATTTTGGCTGTTGACTGCTTAATGATTTTAAGTTACAGATGTATTTTTTATAAATAAATAACATAGTTGTTCAGAGTACAAAGTGACCAAAATGTATTAACTGATATTAAATATAATTGGTTTGGTCGAGGTAAAACATGTTATGATGTCATTTAACCATATTGCAGTGAAGATCAGAATCATTATCAGGTTTAATGCAGTTTTTTTTCATAAACAAAGATTTTGCAATTCACATTTTATATAGATTACTAAATGTACAATCAGGTTTATTTAGAATTATGCACAATATGGACCAAATTGCAATGAGTTTCTAGTGATTGTAAAACACTAGAATGAATCTTCAGAAATTAGCCTGTGAATCCCACAGCTCCAGTATTGAAAGGTTTGAGGATGTTAAACTTTACTAACTCAAACATGTTCTGTGTTTGCCCACAGGCGGAGAAAAGGTCACAGTGATGCAGTACAGCAGACAATGTCTACACTCGGCATCTCTGAAGAACAAAAGAAGTATCTGGATTTTAACTTCAAAGGCTGGGAGTTGAATCCACCTCTAGGTTTTTGGTAACAAAAGAGCACGTCACCCAGCTCAGGATCCTCCAGTTCTCATTCATAATGGCATAGGAAGACATGGTGCCGGACGACAGCACAACCTTCCTAGCCACTCTGCGAGTGTGATCTGACCTCAGTGCCTGACCAAAGGTCCCCCGAAGCAGCAGAGTAAGGAGCTCCTCCTGCCGCTGATACTCACGGACCAGGCACTCCGTCTTACAGATAGTTAGATGACACTTTGACTGTAACACCAGCCATCACCATCCGAGTATCCACAAAATGGAGCCGGAGTATCTTCCTGTCTGAGGAACCCAGTGATAGTCCTTTGGCCGTAGACTCCTGCCTCAGCATCCCTGACATTCTGCACACACAGCAGGTAGGCCAGGTGAGCTCTCTCATATTTGAGATTGAGCGCCTCCGTCAGCTGCTTGGACATGTCCTCTGGTGATCTGCCGCTGCGCCTCATCTCATCCAGGACAGATTTGCAGACCGCCTTTTTGTGAGTCAGGAAGGCCGGCACGATGTTGCTGAAGCGCTGGGGTAGCTTCTCCAGCCACTGGGGCTTGTCAGCATGCCAGTACTTTTTGCAGACCTTGCAGGTGAGTCGCGAAGCTAAAATATAGTACTGGCCGCTTGTCCCAAGGATGACTCTTGGCCTTCCAATGCCAGAAGAAACTACCTGAGGGTTCGGACAACCATAGAGACAGGGCAAAACACAATTGTTTCACACCCTCTCCATGATCGCATGCTCTGGCTTCCAAATAAAATATGGATGAAGCTGATAATACTTGGGTGAAGGCAGGTCTGAGATTGAGTCTATAAGCTCAGGCTGAGGCGGATAACGCCACAGGGACAACATGTTCATAAGGTGTCGCACTGGAGGTGAACCTGGCCACAGACCCAATGTTTCCAACTCAGTCTTCATCCATATTTTCTGCTGGTGGGAGCAGTTCCAGTGGGCAACATCCTCACTATAGCCCGGAACAGAGGCTGCAGGCTGGCGTGCTGCGACCAAAGGGACAGGAGGCGCTGGAAAAGGCAGATCTGTAAAACACCATAGTACATACACAACAAGAGAACATGTAATAAAGCCTTAAATATATGACTGCCATGAGTAAACCGTCAGATTACTGGTGTAGCCGACATCATTCACAAGGAATGAAACTGTAATAAATACTCCCCTATCACCTCGAGTCGATCGGACACTTGCCCTCCAATCTGAAGGACCTCAGTGAGAGCATTTGTCCTCACATGCTCATGCTTCTGAGCGGCAGACTTGTCCTGAAGGGAAGGATTTTTTTTTATTCTCATTCCCTCCTCTGAAGGGTCCTGTCGCAGGTGCCAGATGGACCCTTCCTGAGAGACATCCTTATCTTTCCTGGCAAAAGTTAGTCTCCTTCATCCTGCACACAGAAAAACACAATGATTTGTAATGTTTTGGTCACAACTTTTATATTGCATGAACCGACGGAGAGGAAGCTGGACAGGCAGGCAGATGTATTACTTCATTGCCCTGTTAATGTGGTTGATTACAACAATAGTAAATCCTTTCAGTCACAAAGCACATAGACTACTGTTGGAGCTATACATCGATTTATGTCATTTGGTCAGAACTAAACATGGAGAAGTTCAGTTATTATGCTCCAAATATCTGGAACAATCTCCCAGAAACCTGCAGGTCCGCTGCAACTCTGACTACTTTTAAATCCAGGCTGAAGACTTTTCTTTTTGCCGCTGCTTCTAATTGAACTATTCATATCTCACACTGCTCTGTAACGGCCCGTCCACACAGCGGCGTGCGTTGAAGCTTCAACGCTTCTGCCCATTCACTTTGAATGGGGTGACGTCACGCTTCGCATGTGCCAGTACAAGCTCTAGCCAATCAAACCGCGTGCTTGTGTGTCCGGGGCGGGAGATTCATGTGATTGGTTGTTGGTCGAGTTTCAGCCCCCCCCCCCCACCGGCAAGCTTTAACGCACGCCGCTGTGTGGACGGGCCGTAACTTTGATTCATGTACTTTTTCTTTTAATGTTCATTTTATTATCTTTGCTTTTTAATGTTTTTTTTTAAATGCCATTTTCTTAATGTCTTTCATTTTTGTGAAGCACTTTGAATTGCCTTCTGTTGAAAGGTGCTATATAAATAAACTTATGTAATTTAGTAATTCAATATTTATTTTCTAGCTGTTTGTGTTAATGTGAAACTAATAATTGTTTTATTGTAATTACTTTTGGTGTAATTATTTAAGTTAAGCAAAGCCATTTTTAAAGGTGGTTTTGGGCACCAGCTGATTAGGTTTTTATTGGAGACAGGTGGTGGTGTGATTGCTGCACCAGAATGAAATGCCACAGGTGAAACCAATGTTCTTTATATGTTGGATTATTGGATTACAACAAAATAAATGGAAAAAAAAACACGTCTTGCCTTGACATTGAATGTTTTCCAGCGTAAGATGTGCTTACTGGTGCCCTAGCAGCTGTTTTTAAGCACTATATAGCAGATGGGTAACATATTTACCCATCAAATAATCACAAATGCATAAAAGAAAATACCGGGCGGAAACAAATCTTTGTCTTACTTACACAATACACAAAATAAAGTAGATAAAAAAAAAGGCAGCACAGATTGAAAAATAGCAATATGTCGAGAAAATATATATTATTGATTCATTTCTGCGGGGTAGTGCACCCCGGAAACTATACATTGTGGACTTTGGAAAGAGCGGAGAAATGTACCTTGTATTTCAAATGACATTGATTCCACAATGGTGATTATTTGTGTTTTTTTTGTATTACATGGTCCTAGATTAAAAGTAAGAAATAGCACATAGTTGCCTCCCTCTGAAAATGTGTAACCAACTGTCAGGATTTGTATACAGTCCATGAAGGCAGCAGACAAAGGGACATTGACCGACTGCATTCTTTAAATTGTCTAATTAGAGCCAGGTGTTCATTTCACATTAAAAGCATGTTGAGTAAAAATCGTTTGATTTTTGAGTGTTGTATTGGACACAAAAAAAAATAGCAATTACGTATGCATTTTATTTCTAGGATTATTATCCCCTGTCTAAAAAATAAAACACAGAAAAGTTATGTTATTAATTACTTTTTGGGTATCCCTTTTCCCATAAATGCTCATCAATCACTTTGGGTCACATAACTAAGGAAAGAGCGCCCCCGAAATACCACTTGTGGCCAGAAATATATATTACATCCGTAGTGATAAGAACTACCATCGACAATGAATGGTAAAAGTTAAGGGAGTTAATTAAACCCCGTTTGACAGGCGGCAAATCCCTTTCATCTGTTTCCGTAGTGTAGTGGTTATCACGTTCGCCTCACACGCGAAAGGTCCCCGGTTCGAGACCGGGCGGAAACACATTATGTCTTGTATGGCTTCACATATATACTAAACTCTGCAAAAGATAGTTATCAGCAAAATAAATGGAAGAGGGAGCCCCGTTTGAAAAATGCCAATATGCCGAGAAGTTATTCCTTCGTTGTCTGCTTCTTTCAGACTACGAAGGTGCTGGCCTAACACTA